AGTCGAGAAACATTGTTTTATAGCTTAATTAATATCTTGACCTTGAGAGAGAGCTATACAACATAAAGAGTTTATTATAGTGTTTTCATAACTTTAGACTCGATTTCAACCGCGACAACGATCGCTGAATATTGTAGGATCGCATACGCTTCCAATATGTTCATTTGAACCAAATTCATGACTTCATACCAAAACGTTGTAATACCTTTAACGTCTATAGGGGGCTAGGGGTTAATGTCCTTCTGGTTCTAAACAAATTTATTTCTATGACCAACTCCATACTTTTTATGTGGAAGGGGAAGTATAACAATTTATAGTTTGTTCCTTGCTGCAAAAGAAAATAATGATGACATTCATTTCTTCGAAGGCCTAAGTATGCTTTCAGTTTATAAACTTCCAGTTCCACAACTAGGCTAATCTTTTTCATTCGACAAAATTATGACCTTTAAAAAAAGCAATGTGATCGTCTATTCACATTGCATAAGTATACGCCGTCAATCCGTCATCATGGTTGAAAATACATTAACCAATCTAAGTCTGGGATAAAATGTATCATTTTATTGTTTCCAAACTAAACTTGACCATTTCATGCGTAACTACACTATTACCATATCAAGATCATGATGTTTCACCATCAATTTGTAAAAAGTTTCCACATTTTTAAAATTATTGTAATACATTGTCTCTTGTTACTAGTAAATTGATATAATCGTCGTCGTCATCCTCCTCATCATCATCTTCATCCTCCTCATCATCTTAATCATCATCATCGTCTTCATCATCATCTTCATCGTCATCATCATCATCATCAACATCATCTTCTTCATCTTCGTTATCTTCATCATCATCGTCATCATCATCTTCATTTTCATCATCATCATCATCATCATCATCATCATCCTCATCATCATCTTAATCCTTACCAATATCATCATCATCATCATCATCATCTTCATCATCATTCTCATCACATGTTCATATGTCCTCTATAGACTACGCCTAAGGATTAGAATTAAAACAAATCTGAACTCAGTCACTGACATGGTGTCACTTATAGCAAAGAGACTTTCGAATATTATATACGTGAACGTCGATTTCATTTCAAGAATAAAACAATCGAGTTTAATGTTTATGCAGTAAATCGTCACGTACATACAAGTATGCTTAGTAAAACTCTGAAAAGTATTCACAATATATACATTTGTATAGACGTTCGAATCGCAATTACATCAAAAAAATAAAATCGACATGTTGTTCAGAACAAGAAAAAACAAGAATATCATCACACGATATAAAATGAATATATGCGGCAGAAGAAAGACACATGGGCCACGCAATGAAAAATGATTGATAGAGTTTTAGAGTAATGATTATATATGATTGCATGAGTTTCACCTTCTTTACACAGCCTCCAATATCAATACAAATTACCAGTATAACGTCAGAAATTGAATACATCAGAAATGAAATGATTTCAGAGATGGAATACAAAACTTAGTTACATAATTTCATCTTAAATTAATTCAAATTTACTTTTTACAGTTGGTTTATTCGAGTTGCAACTATTATTTACAGAGTGACGAGAAACGGAGTAGGCATATCAAACTGAAATAAATTCCTATGCTTACACGAAAATAGTCTCCGTGTTATTGCGTTTCCTTTAGGGAACAACAATAAAACTCCCTTAAACCCCCTTACACAAAGCATGATGTTACCGCTCTGTTCATAGTCAGTCAGAAAGGCGTTAACTCTGGGTACAATTATATGAGTTAACGCTAAACAATAATAATAATAATTGAAGAAAAAACACAGAAACAACAACAGCAATAACAAGAGAATAGAACATTGAACATGATATTATTTCCCATTACTGAGTAGCATACAGCAGACTTGCAGTTGTAAACAAATAAAAAACTTACGCATGATCTTGATTGTCAATATGGGCGTTTGATATCACTCGTTAAGTGTTTGAGCTTTTATAAAGCATTTCCTTTTATGGAAGGTAACCTTCGAACATTAATAGATCATTTGTCATAAATTTAATTTTTGAATTTTGTTATAGTTTTTTTTCATAATATGTAGTCATGCATTAGAGTACAATCATATCATTATGGGTATAATTATTGTAACCAAAGTTGAATTGTAATGAAACAATGACTTTGCAAGTCCGAACCTGTCAATCCAAATATCATTTAATTATAAATGATAACGTTTACAAGGCAAGTCGCATTGGAGAGATAAGGATTAGTGGGGTGTAGGTCGATGGAGGGGCAAAAAGAGAGAGAGAATGAGAGAGAGAGAGGGGGGGGGGAGAATGAGAGAGGGAGATATATTGGGAGAGAGAGAGAGAGAGGGGTGAGAGAGAGAAAAAGAGAGATAGAGAGAGAGAGAGAGAGAGACATATACAAAAGGACAGATAAAAAGAGAATGAATGGTATAGAAGAAATGAAAAGGAATGGAAATTAAAGGATATATTAACGGAGAGAGATACAGTGACGAATGGAAAGAAAGAACAAGCTAGTGAAAGAGAGAGAGAGAGGGGGATAGATAGAGGGATGTAGGGAGGGATGTTTCAATGAATTACCTATCATAGTCTAGACACCCACTGCACAATTCAGGAGTTTAAGTAAACAGTTCTATGTACATGTACATGATCAATCAAGCGCATACTATGCAAAGATTCAATCTGTATAGCGCCTATCTGTTTGGATTTTCTCTCCCATCTTTTGTTGGCATACCAAGCATACTAAGTACACCTCCGCACGCAATGTTAAATTCTCATTTGTGTACGGGATTATAATTTATGAGAATAGACACGAGTGGTTGCACTATGCGTCTGAGGCATTCATTATTCTCGTTCCATGTTATTATCATAATAATATCTATACAAATTCAGCCAAGAATTATTTGTTCCTAATCAAAAACTTTTTTTTTTTTTTTTTTTTTTTTTTTTGGGGGGGGGGGGGGGGGGTCTTATATTTCAACTTATCTGTACACGTTTCCCTTTACGAACGTAACGTAGCTCTTTACCATAGCATACTGTACATGTTTGTCCTACCAATCGTAAGACACCAGCGTATGTATGTATTTTACACAAAAATATCAGGAGTGTATACTAAGGTGTATACTAAAAAGAAAGTTGGCTCATACACCTCAAATGGATTTTAAGGACAAGGGTATACTCTTATTAATGCACCCTTTAAGGGATTGAGCAGGCCTATTTATCGGTAAAAGACGCCGGAATTCTAAAGCCGTACACTTTCTTCAATGATATTTCTATTTTCCAGAAATACCACCGTTATGTTGTCAAGTCTGTTAGCTCATCATGCTTTTAGAACATAGTATCGGTCTATGCCAACTCGTCTTGGAACATTTGAGATTCATGACGTAGCCTGTATACTTCGTAAAAAATGTTATAAAATAAACAGTTTGTTCTTGCCTACGACCAGTATCATTCAATGTGAAACGTGCAAAACGTCATGTTATTTCCCAAATCGTATTCAATCAATTACAAGTTGAAAATTCCGAATTGATACAATCGCCCGCCCCCTTCATTTTGGAAATCTAACCGTATTGTACCGCAAGCAAACAAACGCACCTAAAATATGGAATGCCTCATGCACCCATTTGTCACGTACCACTTGGTAAATACACAACCCAATCACCTTTTCATACTTCTTAAACCTCATCAGCAATCTTGTTTACAAAGTGTAAAGTTAAAAAAAAAATCCTTAGCATTCCATATCAGCTACAAAGCATGTTATCAAGAGGACAATGAATTTCAATAGCCTCCTCTAATCATTTTAATCAACAGCATGATTTGGTGTCAAGTTTTTTTCATGTAATTAGCGACATGAGCAAACAACAAAGGTCATTTACCCAACTGTTAAAAAGAAAAGGAAATGGATACTAGATATCTATTTATGAACTTACGTTGCATTTCATGATGCAAAGGTGGAATTTTCTATCTTAAAATGAGAACAAATCATGAAGTCTCTTTTGCTTGGATCTCTTTTGGAGTAATGAGCAAAGTGGATTTCTTTTCAATTAAGATCAGTGGATATTTGAGGCAATGGGTAACGCGCACTAACTTCAAACTGGTCTACAACGTTGTCACCCCAACCTTCCTACCCTCAAACTGAATTATGCATCAGACATAAGCTGACTGAAAAACAAAACGAAACGCCATCATATATGGTAAATACAATACGAAGTAAAACGGGTTGTTAAAATAAATGACTGATCCTACAAAGGACGTAGCTAACAGAGTTGACGTACTGGCAAATCCAAGATATTTTGTCACATGCATTACCCAACACATCTAAGGTTGTAGTAGATCTTGTGACTGTACAAATTTTAGGAGCCCCTTGAAAAAAGAGAATGGATGAAATACTAAGTAAAATTATAATATTTCATTGAACTGTAATATATGGCACAGTCATGACACATCAAATGCAAATGACTACCTACAATGGACGTGCCTTTTACATAATAAACGCAGCAAAGAACTAAAAATGTATAACATGACAGATTATGTACACTGATACATTTGTATTTGGATGTCTACTAAACAGGAGTTACATTCCTGGTATTCCACTGGCAGTCTTTGAAATATCTTGACTCTTAATCCAAGTGCCGAGGGTTCGAATCCAAGTCCGGCATCAATGTCCTTTAGCAAGACATTAATCCACATTTTCCACTCTTCTCCCCTGTGTAAATTGGTACCCGTAGCAGATGGCTGCTCGGTACTCGGCAGTGAGCAGGATAAGTATCGGTGGGGCGTCACGGCGTAACGGACATGTGGGATATTTAGATGATTTAAGAAGACACGATTATTATAATAATTGTTAGAAATTAAGGATCTATTATTCAGCGGAATACTAGGAGATTAATGCATAACTGATAATAAGGCAGATATTATGAGCTGTTAGGTCAATCGTAGCTAGTGCCTTCAGATATTATCATGTCATTATCAAAATGCTTTCCGTCTTTACTCTCACTATTCATCATAGAAATCAAAGGCCCAGGCGTCGGTGGATCATTCGGTTCGGTCTCCTCTGGATGTTCCAAAAATCGGACGCGTACATTCGCTCGATTCCTCTTGTTCCTCTTGATGACCTTGGCATAGGGGGGTTCAGCCTTAGCATCCGTCTCTGTGGGGCTGCCATCAGTCGCCACATCGGGTGCTAGTTCCAGGACGATCCCATCGTCCTTTGCCACCGGATTCTCCTCTCCATGTTCTCCATTTTTATGTGGTGTATCATCATTATCGGCAACGTTATTGTGTTCTACACTCTCCTCACTCAACTTCCTAGTGTTGATGATAGAGTATGGATCTTCCTCGATTAGATCTTTACCCTCAACATGATCAGGACCATCGAAGCTATCTGATCCAGCTGAGAGGGAAGCGATGTCAGATTGCTTGACATCCAAACCAGAATCAAAGGAATTTTCTTTGGGTAGGCTTGGAAGACGGTCGAGACGAGAATTTCGTTTAGGTTTGTCCACAACACTACCCGCATCACTTCCTGATGTGAGGTCTTCTGCAGGAGTCTCAGGTTTTGCTATGTCATTTTTGGAAGGCTCTGTATCTTCTGTTTTGGGCACGGTTAACTTAACTGATTTTGCCTCTCCAGGGGCGACAGGAGCCGGTCTCTTGCTACTTCGTCCTGGAAGTGTTGAGGACTTCTTGACAAAGTGCACCTTCTCAGGAGAAGGCGTTGTTTTCGTCGCTCTTGGAATGGAGTTGGTACCTGGGTCAGAAGGGACAGATCGGACAGATCTCACTGATGCAGCCGTCGGTGCCTCCTTTTTGATTAAATCAGCAGCAGCTTTTGTGGGTGTTTGCTTTGGGGTTGGTGCTTTCTGCTTCGATTGTCTCTGCGGATTTTTTGTTGTTGCCTTCTGCCCTTGAGAGGTTGATACCTTTGGAGGAGTTGTAGCTGATCGAGCTGGTGTAGACACTGATACTGTGGGTGAGCTCACAGACTTCTGATTTACAGATGAACTCGCAGCACGATGATTTGATCCACTGGGAGTAGGTCCGCCCTGAGTCGGTCCACCCACAGTCGGTCCACCTGGAGCAGTTGGTGCTTTCCGTTTACTTGGTTGTCGGTGAACCTCCTGCCCCCTTGCACTAGGTTGTTTCATGCTGTCTTTAGCAGGATAGGAAGGAACGTCTCCTGCGCCAGTCTCATCTTTCCTCTCCAAGCGATCTCCAGAAGGGATGCCGCCGGAAGTCTCCTTAACAACATCCACCCTCACATTGTTATTCACGATTACTTCCGGGGCACTTTCCTTCGCGGCCTTGTCGATTAACTCATCTCTGCATTTAGAATGTCCATTTTCGATGGTCAAATTCGTAATGGGTTGGTGAACATGGCTGGCACGGTAGGCGTTTTTCGCCCTCACAGATGGTGAAATATAATTAGGGTCATAGTCATGTTCGATTGTGAATGATTGCCTCTTAGCGCAAAGGACAAAAGCCACAATTAGAGTGATTGTGGATGACACACCCACTATCGCGAGAATTACAGGATCCATCGTCGTATACTTGAATCCGAACAGCAATCAAATTTTTTAAAAATCCAACAATGTCGTTCTCCTTGATAATTCCACAGTTAATTTGTGATAGTCGAACTGCTGTCACTCGCTGACGCTGTAGTCACAGTAATGTCCGTGAAACTGGGAAGGAAAAGAAATGTGTATCGAAAGTATTGAAGCCCATTTGAAGCTCATCGGCATCCATTTAATATGATATCATAATGCTATACGAATTTTTCACTTGTAAACGTGGTGTTAAATCTCTCAACGATTCCGTTCGATTAGTTGCACTCCGTTTGTTCAGTATCAAGTTCAATATCGTATCATTAAACTCGAACCTCTTGTAAACAACTTTTTGCAGATGGCTGCAGTCGGTAGGTCGATTAAAAGACCTTGCGCTCATTACATCGTGCAGAACAAGCACATTCTACTGTTCACATCGACAGACAAATGTCTTCCCAAGGAAAATCGTTTATAAAATCGAAATGTGGTCGATACAATGTCGTTCAGACTGGATGAATGCGAAATGTTTTACTAAACGGGACGAATGAAGGTCATCAATGGCACAGAGTTATAAAATCACTTTCGACTGCCTTCATGTAATCGTACACAGAGTAGAGTCTTGCGAGAAAAATACACGATTAACGTCGGTGATGGTAGTTCCACAGGAAGAGTCTAAGACGTATTGTTGCTTCTCAACTTCTCAAAGAACAGCTCAAAGTTTCACAAATTTCCTGTAAGTTGTTTCTTCTCCTGGGACTGAACGATTCCCGAGAAGGTTCGCCATTCGGATAAGCGACGTTAATGCACGTATTGAATGGCGTAGAGATTCGCCATGCACGTTGTTTTTGAAGTACTTGTCACAGTCATTGATTTTTCTTTTCATTTCGAGATTCGTCACCCCCACCGAGCCAATTGTTCCGATCTATTATCCGAAGACTTAGCCCATCTCTGCCCGTGCGTGCGTGCGGACATGGACTTTGGAACAGTTTAGGTGCGTGGGGTAAAAGGCTTGCTCACACATCATGGCAAATGACACCGGTAGCTAATCTATTGTCGCAGAAGCTGAAACGCCCCCGAATTCGGGTTAAGACCTCGCAAAACCTCTTTGGAGACAAACAGGGGACCCTTTCTTTTGATAACCTTTGTAAAGATACAAATTCCAGCAAAGTTGAGCAAATATGACGCATTGCTCATGAATAATAAAAACTTTCCCATCTTATAGGCCACGAAGTTGTTTAATATTCCAGCTAAGAACATTTATTTGCATTGTCTCAGTGTAGAGGGGCGTAAATATGTGGCCCTTGACATATATAGAAATGACAATAGTAATTTTTGGTTAAGTTGAATTGCTGGTCTCGTGGAAACTAGGCCTATATAACACCTCCATTAGAGAGAGGGGATGCATGGTTTAGGAGTGTAAAGTGAGAGGGAGAGAAAGATAAAATGAGATAGAGAGAGAAAGAGAGAGGGAGAGATAGAGAGGGGTGGGGTTGGGGTGGAGGGCTTATGCATGTATACATGAGAGAGCAGGGTGGAGAGGTATGAATCCCTTGTGTGGGAGATATGAGGGAGAGGAGGGAGAGAGTGGCAAAATGAAAATACATGTAATAAGTAATAGAGAGTGAGAGGGACAGAAAAAAGAGGGAGAGAGAGAGAGAGAGAGAGGAGGGGGGGGGGGGGGGAGAAAGAGGGAGAAAGACAGCGTCAAGCTAGAGAGGTGGTAAATAGATTGATGTCTTTGCTAATAACCGGCAGTTTGAAGTGCATGGCAAACTTACAAAATAAAAATAATATACGTCATGGTCATTAAGACTGTGCATGATAAACAATGATGACATTTACCTTGATGTACAGGCCTACATTAGTGAAGGGGTGTCTGTCCTGAAAACTGTTGCCCTTCCCCTAAACATCGTTATCCTTTGACGATTTGAGAATTATTTATACTTCTATTAGCTTGACAAATATGTACAGTGAAGTGCGTTGTGATATTCGTGTTTGCTTTCGACCTTTTAAATGTTTTTCAATGATTCCTGCGGCTGCATTCAGAATTATGAAAATATGTCAGTGCATGTGGAGGGGTCTTGAGTAAGTTTTTAAATGTGGTGTTTTAAAATTAAAGATTAGGTTCATGATACATTAGCGATATTGCGTAGCTATAATAGAGTTCCAGCAGTGAACTTGGGCTGTTTGAAACTAGATCTTGAACTGTATTCATGTATGATAATTCCATGCAATCCAGATTAGATCATGTCATGAACTAAAATATGGTAGGTTTTGTTTAAAATAATGACAACATTAAAAATAGCGAATAAACATACAACAACAATATATCCCAATCGACAGTTTCTCCCCCTCTCTACAGAGAGAGAGAGAGAGAGAGAGAGAGAGAGAGAGAGAGGAGAGAGAGAGAGAGAGAGTGATAACGAGACAAAGAGACATGCAGAGAGAGAGAGAGAGAGAGAGCGAGATAGAGCTAGAGAGAAAGAGAGACAGTACATAGAGACAGACATAGAAAGGGGGCAGATATAAAGGGGAACGGAGAAATAATGACCCCCCATATATTGACATATTATGACAGCTGACAACATGCACCTTTCCAAGTTTTAATAATAATAATAATAATATTTGATTTTTATATAGCGCTTAATACAAATGTCTCTAAGCGCTCTACAAATATACTATTACCACGGTCATTGGATTCAGCGCTTGCCTGCACACATTATGTGCTCAAGTGGACTCAAGTGACTTTCAGACTCTTTCTCCATACTGAGATACAGGTTACATACACTACTTATTATTGGAACGGTGGTAAAAAGAACTTATTTTACTTTTAGGGTTTCAGATCAATGGCAGCTGATACTTACTGGTACCGTGAAAATAATTAGCTTGAGCCATCTGAATTACGACGGACTGTGCTAGGACAACTATCCCCTTGACTGTCACCACGGACAATGAACTTTCGGAAAATTGTCTCGTTGAACAATTACCCAAAGACAACTATCCCCTGCTTGACTATTACCATAGACAATAGTCCAGAATCTGGTCGGTTCTTCATGTTATATTCCCTACAATAATGATTCAAGCCGCCGAAGATGGCGTTATCAACAAACTCATAATTATGCTCACCAGCCCAGCCGCCTGAGAGCGGTAGCATACATTGGCACCAAGTTTAGTCCGATATATGAATCTGTATTTTCCCCTACGTCACAGACGTGCGTTGTGCGTACTAAATACACAAGTAGGCTCACGTTCTTAAGTATCAATAGTCCGGGAGCCAGGGGGTCAACCTAGCTGGAAAGGAAACCAATTTTCATGTGCACGGATGTAAAAATCGCATAGCCCCATAACGAATTGACCGTCTGGCATGTCCTAAGTGGTGGGTGTGGCAGGGGGGGGGGGGGGGGGGGGGAATGGGTCCAAAAATTGAGCTAGATCAGCTGGAAAGGAAACAACTTTATTTCTGAAGGCAATATCAGAACGCAACACATATGTTTTTAACATCATGGAAAAATCCATCTGAGATCAAACGAAACGATATTAAAACATGTCCATTTATAAAACGTAACAAAAAAATTCCAGTGCAGATTTCCACTTGAGAAACTGCTTATATAAAAGCTAAAAACACTTAACACATTAACTTAATTTTCTTATCTGCCCACTTCCTGGCAATATAATATTATTTTAAAGAAAAAAATCTAGCCTGTTACTCACTTTCAATTTCCCTTTTCCAACCTATCCAACTCATTCACTGTGAAATAAACATAATGCTTTAAAACAATATTTGTGACCGAATATTCAAACACAGTTAAGAAAACATGTATCTATACAAATTCTATTACATATATTAAAAAGAAATAAGTAAAATACATCCCATGCTTCGGGTGACAAGCATGAAAAGTGACGATTGTATTAAGAGCGTATTACGTTTTATTGGTGCGGCTTTTATGTATAATAAGCACAATATGATGAACAAGTATTCCTATCATACGATTATACTGCAAATATAAAGGTGTGACGCCAGACAATATTACAGTTATTGCAATGAGAGAGTGTAATGCTATCATAGAGAGTAGTCAGAATGGACTGTGGCACAAAAAAGTCTTGATTTGGAGAGAACACCAATAGATCTTGATATTTTTTAACAAATTGAGGTAAGATGTGGCTTCCAAGAAAGATATTCATTCAAAATTATACCTAAAAACTGCATATTACCAACCTTTGCTATGACATTTCCACCAATAATGAGGTTTGAGAGAAATAGATTGACACCTTTATTAAGCAGAACGGAGAATATACAAGATAATTTGTTTGTGTCAACTCTTCAGTCTTCATCATAATGTCATCTCTTTTTTCATTCGAATCATTATCATCATCGTCATCATTATCATCCGCATCTGCATTGTCAATATCACCATCTTTAACAAAATTATTTTCAATTATCTATCCGTTCTGCTTAATAGATATGTTTATCTATTTCATGAATTTTTTCTGGGGGTTTTGTATTATCAAGCAATGTGCTTACAATGACAGTCCTTCTTCCGCAAATAATTATATAATGTTTGAGAAAATTTAGTATTTATGACAGTTTATCGTTTCATTTTTGAAAATAATAATTGTTTCATATATTTGCTTATTTATGATTCATTGTCAGAAAAATACTTTATATTATTATTAATATAAAAAAATAGTGCCAAGTCTCTGTGAAAATATTGGTAAAGGTTTATAAAATGGTCCTCAATGTTAATTCACTGTAAAATGCATAAAACGGTATGACGTATTGACCTTTAAAATCGGAGAGGGGTATTAATCTTCAAAACCACCAGCACCTAAATTTTGCTAGCTAGGCTCGCGCTAGCCAACTATGTATGTCATCACATCTACACTTATAGATTGTTAATGTGGCCTTGAAGTTTAAATGTATTTTTAATACTTACATCGAGACATCCTCCCTTAAAACCAAAACAATATATAAATCCTTTTTATGCATTTTCTGAAGC